TAAAGAGGTAAGCATTTTATTTTGGCTTCTTCCTTTTCAGAATTTGTCTTTATCCCTTTGTCTTTAACATCTTTCAAGTCTTAAAGTATAAATGTAATAGCTTTTTTTAACTGACCATTTAATTTCAAGGTAATTGGAATATCTCTTTCTTTTTATAAATGTCACGAATGCCTCTCACATGAATGTCCCACAGTTTAGGCTAGTGGAACCGACAACACTCATATTTTGTATACAGAGGCTATCTGCTAGATTGTGAAAACATTGATATTGTTTTAAATTAAAATTTAACATTTGGGAAAATGTCTCCCTAATCCTGAATAATTCATATCCATATTTCTTTAGTTCTTGTAAACTTGGTCTTAAATTGCACTTAGTGTGGCAATAAGCTGTTGAAAAACCAGACATAAAGAATGTATTCTACTTCAGATGCTGGACTTCAGACATTGCTTCCTGCACAGTGTGTACAAGCTACTCTACTGCTGTTGTTGTATGAAAGCATTTGACCACTCTGTCCCCCCCCCCCCCCCCCCCCCCCCCAGGCCTCACAGAGTGGGAAACTATCCTTCCCTCATTCAATTTGTCTGGTGATGGCTCGGTTTGCTGTGCTCACGCTGACCGGCTGGAGCCTGTGTCGCTCGCTCATTTATCTCTTCAGAAGCTACTCTGTGCTCAGCCTGCTCTTCCTCTGCTACCCGTGAGTATCTACAGGGAGAATTTAATAGCTTGAATTCAGTAGACTCAGTCAAGTGAGAGTCCACTAACATAATGATGCCAGGTAATTACATTTCCAATGCTTTGGTTTCATTGTTTGTGTTCCCCAGCTTCAGTTGGTTCCAGCTCGTTCGTTTGTGTTCTCCATCTAACACGAGTTAGATTTAATACAGATTAATATCAAATGTGTTTGACAAGCTTTATACATAGTCAGCTAAAACATTTGTTTTACCTTTGTTGGAGGTATATATTGCTTTATATTATTTAATATTTTATTGCTGTTTTTTGTTTATAGTAAATGTATTATTATTCAAGTAAGTTGAAGTAATTTTGATGCTTTTATTTCGAAGGCATCTTTGGGCACTGGGTGATTTGGGCACCTGGTATAATTATATATAATGGGAGACAGGTGGTGGTTGGATTAGCGCACCAGGATGGCATTTGTTGTTTTTTTTACCAGGGAAAGCACAAGGAGGCCACAGGAAGGCAAAGGGCAAGATATAGAAAGATGGTTACATTTATTCTGGTGATATTGGATCATGGAATAAATGCACAGGAACGACGATCTTGCCTGGACTTGGATCATTCCCTGTGTACGATTCGCTATTTGGTGCCTCAGCGGCAGTTTTACTTTTGAGTTCATTTTCTGTTTTACTTCTCTATGATTTTGGCCGCTACAACCTTAAAGTAGTCTGATCGGAGATATGAATGATGAACGTGATCTGGTGTTGTTGTCTCTTGAGCAATTATTCAAAAGCTTTCATTAAAATACTGCTTAGTGGAGGTTATTTGGTTCATTGACTGTTAATTACACAACGGTTGGATCCTGATATCCATAGTGTCTGTTTTTGCAAATAAAACTAGCATGAGCGGCCCCTTACTCAATTATAGACTTTTTTTAACTGATGGAACAAACGTACTTGGAACCATATTAACTATGGTTTTTAATATCAGAGCCCTTCCATGTGAGAATATTTGCAGTGTTCACCCAGTGCTTTAAGTATTGTAAAAAGTAAACAATAGCTGTTGTTTTCTGCAGATTTGGGATGTATATTCCCTTCTTCCGGCTGAGCTGTGACTTCCGACGCCCGGGTCCGCTCTCCCCCATCGCCAGCATCGGCTCCAAGGAGGTGGGCAGCGTGGGCCGGGGCAGGGACTATTTGACCGTGCTGAAGGAGACGTGGAAGCAGCACACCAGCCAGCTGTACGGCATCCAGGCTATGCCCACTCACGCCTGCTGCCTCTCCCCGGATCTCATCCGCAAGGAGGTGGAGTACCTGAAGATGGACTTCAACTGGAGGATGAAGGAGGTGCTGGTTAGCTCGATGCTCAGTGCCTACTACGTGGCCTTTGTACCCGTCTGGTTTGTCAAGGTAAGAAACTGTCTTAAAGGAATACCATCCAAACGATAATTTCTGTATCAATAATTCACTTCTTTCCTTGTATTCATGAACAAAATTATTCTCGCATGTCGCCAGAGTGAACAAAGAATCCAAAAACAGAAGAAAATATAGATAAACTTAGAAATAAATGGGCTCCATGTTTTTAAAGGCATTTTCACTTGTTGGAAAGAAGTTAGCAAATATTTAAATGAATGAGAATGTAAAATTAGGTTTAAGTGTATTTCTGCTGCAACGCAGCACTCAATTACTTCATCAATCATTTTCTCCATTTTTGGATTCTCTTCTTATCATGGACGCATGCGATAATATAGTTTTTAATTAATTTTCTTCACAAATGTAAGATTCATTCATTAATATAGAAATTATAATTTTGTTGGTGAAGTATACCTTTTAAAGCTAGGTTGGGTACATTTGATTTTAAGCGTTAATGTCATAATTCAATCCGCTTTAATAACGCCTGTGTATTTCCCCTCAGAGTACACAGTATGTGGATAAGCGCTGGTCCTGCGAACTGTTCATCCTGGTGTCAGTCAGCACGTCAGTAATCCTCATGAGACACTTGTTGCCACCTCGATACTGTGACCTGCTTCACAAAGCTGCAGCGCACCTGGGCTGCTGGCAGAAAGTAGACCCCTCGCTCTGCTCCAATGTCCTTCAGCACATGTATGTACCGCTCATGATTTATTACTGGGCTTTGGACTCATTTGATTGAAAACCCTAATTGTCATTTTGTTGTCTCTTTTCGCACAGATGGACAGAAGAGTACATGTGGCCACAGGGAGTCCTGGTTAAACATAATAAGAATGTCTATAAGGCCATGGGTCACTACAATGTTGCAGTTCCATCAGACGTGTCTCATTATCGCTTTTATGTGAGTATTCCTAAAATGAACATGTCAAATTATTATTTTCTAATCTGATGACTGACTGCATCTCCTCCCTTTCCCTCCCTTAGTTCTTCTTCAACAAGCCTTTACGAATATTGAACATACTCATCATCTTGGAAGGTGCCATGATATTCTACCAGCTCTACTCGCTGATATGTTCAGAAAAGTGGCATCAGACGATATCACTGGCTCTGATTCTCTTCAGCAACTATTACGCCTTCTTTAAGCTTCTCAGAGACAGAATAGTCCTGGGAAAGGCATACTCGTTCTCAAACAGCCCGTCAGACCAGAAAGTCAGTTAGGCTCTGAGTTATTAATCACCACATTCACTTTGGAACAACACAAACATGCCTAAGAGCTCTGTATTTTTTCTACAAACTGCATTTTGTGTCACATTTTTGTTCTGATCTGCCATAATAAAAAGAAATATTTTTGTATTACTTAAAAGGTTTGCTTTGGTATTTATTTGGTTCTAAAATCTCCACTCTGACCACAAGAGGCCTCTCGGATTCAAGAATGAAACACACAATTTGAACAATTCCTCAAAGAACAAGTGTGCATTTCAGTTAATGTGCACTTATTGACTATTCATTGCTGAGAACCTGGTCACTTTGACAATAATGTATAATATGGAAGAAAATATTATCACTCAATCCAAATTAGTCACCACTGATACTTCATGTCGACATTTAAATAAAAGGACAAAATTAGTCATTATTTGAAAGTGCAAAAATGTAAATCACCCTCTGAAATGTTCAAATAGCTTTTTCTTCACAATATGAATACAGTGAGATGTTTTAAATGCCTTGAGTATTCAGTAGGGATCTCACTTTTATTACCCTTATCTGAGCAAAGACTATGGATAGAAGCTATACTGTTCAGATTGCAACACTCTTGAGGCGAATTCTTAATTTAGGGTAATTGGTGGAAAATGACTTAGTACATTTACTCCAGTACTGTATTAGCATCCCTTTGAGGTATTAGAACATGGAGAATTTCCATTTTACATACTTCTGTGCAATTATTGACATTTGTTTGAAGCTACATTGCAGACTCAGATGATCACATCATTAATACAAACATATACACCAACTTAAGATAGATAGATATATACTTTATTTATCCCATAATTGGTAAATTACTTTGATCCAGCAGCAGTGTCAAGCATTACACAAGTTAAACAATTTCAAAAGATATAAGATACAAATACTATAACATTAGCAGACTAGTAGACTCCTGGTACTAGAATGGGTTAAAAGCAGAGAACACATTTCACTGTGTGTGCTGTGTGCTCTGCATGTGTGACCATTAAAGAGGGTTTCATCCCTCCCAAATAAAAAATACATATCCCTAGAGTATCTAAATAATACACAATATAATGAATACATTGAGTACTCAATACAATATACAGTCTCACTAAGCTACATTGATCTTAACCAAAGAATACATATTATTATGAATTAATCTACCAAGCAATGTATGAAATAGTTTTTAGCTCCACCCAGCAATTTAAATCTAAGACATAACATTTAAATATATAAGTTAAAGATAAAGGGCTAAAATATACACTTATAACGATATTATACATTCATATACTGTACATGTGTAGAAGACAGTCTTGCAAATTGATAAACTGAATGTAAACGAGAATGTAGTAAAAATATATCCATAACAAGAAGTAGTAAAGTAGAACAAATATATACTGTATACATTTGTATATATATATATATATATATATATATATATATATATATATATATATATATATATATATATATATATAGTGGAACAATTGCGTCACCATGTGGCCTGTCTGTAGTGTTCTCAGGTGCCTGCAATTCAAATGCAATTGCAAACCACCCAGGATATAATAGAAGCTTGTTTTCATCATCAGCTGAGGAGCAGTACCCATCATGCTGTTCGCTGCACCTGTGTAGTAAACACACTTAAGCTGCAGGCTGCGGGGCACTGGCCCTTTAAGACGGATAAAGAGACAACAGCCCTGCACGAGACGAGCGCATCGATGCCGCGTTCACATCTAGCCTGACACACACCGGAGCTGCCTGCTGGAACAGCTCAACACCACTGTGCTTGATCAATGTTAATTCATATGTAATATATTTAAACAGCTTTAAATGGCGGGAGGAGAACTGTGACTCCGTGCTCGGTAGGTCTGCTCTCTGGTGCGTAATTGATTCGGTAAGTCGTATTTGTGTCATTTTCGTAGACGATACATCTGTCTACCCGTCTTCCCTCACACTGAATTCAACCATATGGTACAAAAATCTGCTGTTTTCATGTTTTTATTCAAGCAGCTTTTCCTCGGGGTTGACACAACCCAAGTAACGAATGATTTCATCGTATAAAGTTGCCTTTGTGTATTACTGTAGTGGCCATCTTTGGATTCTACTTTGAACGGAGGCTGACGTAGTGTTAGGAGATAAAAGCTATTAATAAGGAATCAATGCAAATGTAATGGCAGGAAATGTTATTTAACCCTCCGGTATCATTCGATTGGACTACGCAAATTAGTCATTCGGGACAAAAATGTCCACTGCAAAAGACTTTGAGAAAAACATTATATTAAAAGGTTTTTTTCACAACTTTCTTGGGTTCAATCTTTAAAGCAACTTCTGCCCTAATCAAAAATACCAAATATTTAATCATTTTCAGGATTTTAACCCTTTAAATGCCATTTTGAATACATGAAATCGCTGTTGTTTTTCATGATAAAAACAGAGAAAATATATCTGGGGACTGGCTCTTTTTTATAAATAACAGTCTTGGATATGTCAAAGATTAGCAACAAAAATGTCCACTTCCAAAAACTGCTATAAAAATGATAACAGATTAAACTTTTTGGGGTTAAATCTTTCAATCAACTTCAGTCCTGATCAAAAATATCAAATTATTTTCAGAATTTTAACCCTTTAACTGCCAGTTTGAAAACATGAATTCGCGTTTTCTATGAAAAACATGCACAAAAAGGCAGTTATTTTCCATATAATAAATGTTGGGAGGGTCGGCTTTTTTTTTTATCACAGTCTTGGATATTTCAAAGATTAGCAACAACATTTATTTTGGTGGATTATTAGTTTTTGCACAGAATCAGATTAAACAAAAAACTCACACATTAGCCACTCACGGACAAAAATGTCCCATTCACTCCCATTATAACCACATCTTTTGATCTCTCCGCCATACCGGTATATAATCATGCATTTTGTAATGTCAGGGTTTTATTTTGAAGGAAAATAGTTCAATTTGTCCTTTTTACTGTATATCACCAGATGTGACATTTTACCATTGAATTACATGCTTGTCATTTCTTGGTTTCTGGGCCTGTTGTATAATGGGGGCCTGCCAGCCATTGGAATACATGTATGCAACTCATATGATGTAGGTGTGTTGGTATGGATGTGGAAGAGTGGTATCAGCTGATAAATGTGTGTGTTTGTGTGTGTGTGTGTCTGTATGTACAGTGTGTGTGTGTGTGTGTGTGTGTGTGTACAGAGACAACAATATACAGTAGATTTGGTTTACAGCAAGTCGCAGTTTTCGCCTCATATCTCTTTCTTTCTCTCTCTCTTTTTCTCTCACTCCTTCATTCCCAAACTCATACACACTCGTACATATTAAACCTCCTTATACCTTGTATGTGTGTGAGTGATTGTGTGTGAGAATGAGACGGGAGTAAGTGTGCTCTCATGGCATTTTTTTTGTTATATTAACATAACTCTATTACTCTATGTATTGCATTGCAATGTGTTTTTTTTAATGGTCATTCAGTAAGTGGAAATGGATAGGAGTCATACTTTTTAAACTCCACTATCCTTCCATAGGAAAGTCTCACCTGAGGTGCTGTTTACACGAGATCTCAAACGGTTGTATCCGCTACTTTTCTCTTTCGTATAGCCTGTTCGTTCACACAAGGCCGTAACGGAAACACGGAAACGGACCCCGCAAACGATAACGGGTCCCAAGGTGGATAGATCTGCAAACGGAACGCTCTGGGGGGCCAAACGGCTCCGTGTGTACGATCATTTCCTGATAACAATGAAGCCATAGCCCCACCTCTCCTGCTCACTGCTGTAGCATGGTCAGTAGCTACTGTCAGTAGCTACTGACCATGCTACTGACCATGCTACAGATGTTAGTGCAAAATCTACAGCTCCTCTACCACAACCATCAGCAACAAGTGGACATGGAGAATTACGAACTACATGTTGCTAAATCCACCGCAGGGCCTAAACAGAAGGGCAACCATGGCAACCATGCTCGGGGGTCTTCTTCGCTGCTTTTGGTGTATTTTGTGGCGAAAGTACAGCGCCACTTACAGGCCCGGCATATGTACTACAGCGTCTCCAGCGTTCCCGAGCGGTCTCGTGTGAACGGAAGACTTTTTTGATATCGTATTCATTTGCGTTTCGTATGCGTTTGCGTGTAAATGGTGTCTCGATAACAACCCAGTATATTGATTTTCTCCTTCAGCCATTTGTCTAAAAGCCGAGGCATTATTTCCATTTGTATAGTACACTCCTCTCAGGAATCATGTTACCTGTCAGTGCTTTATTCTCTCTATAGTGAGGAAGAAGGCTTCTGCAGTGTTTGGATTTGTGATCATTTTGGTTGTCACATAATTGATTCATTTGGTTCGGAAATGTCCTCAAAACAGCAACGCAGTGTGTCCTTGAGTTCACACATTCTCTAATGTCTTTTCACTTTGAGGGTGCTCTAAACATATCTTTGGTTACTGTTTCTCTCCCTTTTACTCCAGGGAAACATTATAGAGAGCAAGAAAAATGCTTTCCTTTAAAACTTTCATATAAAAGCAATCCCATTAAGGCAGGAGGATTAATACTGTTTCTCTCTGAGGATTTAATGTGTTTCTGACAGATATATAGTTGTGATAAACTAGGGATGCTGCGCTGTTAAAGCATCACTAAACGCCTTTTCTTTGCAGAGTGGAGAATCCTGAATTGCAGCACTAATTTTGGCACAGGCAGAATCTTCCAGAGGCAGGGAGGGAAGGCTGCTGGGTTTAGAACTTCCTACCTTTGTTGCTTCAGCACGTCCTGCACAGCAGCCAGGCAGTGCACCCCCCCCCCTCATACTGCAGGAAACTTAAAAGATAAACAATAATGGAAGACAAGCGCAAGAAGCGGAGCCCAAAGGTGTCTCTTCCCCAGCCCCCTCCTCCCCCCATCAACCCTCGCAAACTCCCCGTCCTGCCTGCAAGCAAAAGTGCCACCTTCTCCCTCGGCCTGCCGCAGCCCCCCTCCCCCAAGAACAGAGGCAAGTACAAGAGATCCATAGGAGCGCCAGGACAGCCCAAGGAGGTGTTCACAGTCGTCGTAGCCCCACCAAAGATCACCAGGTTTGTCTCTTAGCGTATCAGAACAATTCTACAGAAAACACCATGATTTATGAACAATTGCTGTTAATGTTCCTTAACTTTTATGTCCGACCAACTCTTTAATTTTAAAACAGATAACTGGTTAGTTAGATAATGTCAGATCACATACAGTGTGCACGATTTTCACCACAGCTACATCTGAGCATAATAATAAAAGTGTATATAAAAGGAAACATGAGTACTTATACTTCGTACTGTATGTGCATGAATAGACGATTGAAGGCTGGATTGTATTTTGAATACTGTTTTGTTTTGTAACAACACATTTGTTTTCTTCAGGCCCCACAAGGAGAAGCCAAGGGCCCCCCAGCCTGCAGGGCCCAGTAAAGTAGTCCAGTCCTCCCCCCTGCAGCACTCCTTTCTCACAGATGTCTCAGATGTGAGAGAGATGGAGGGAGGCCTCCTCAATCTCCTCAATGACTTCCACTCAGGCAAACTACAGGCTTTCGGTAAGATAACCTCGATAGTAGAGGCCACCATGGGAATATCCTGTTACAGGCTGAAATAAAACCAGTTGAAAAGTGGCTTTGTTTTTACAAGTTGTACTTGTTTGGTTTTCTAGGCAAGGTGTGCTCTTTTGAGCAGCTGGAGCATGTGCGTGAGATGCAGGAGAAGCTGGCCCGACTTCACTTCAGCCTGGACAGCCACGTGGAGGAGCTTTCAGAGGACCAGAGGAAGTGTGCCTCCGACCACAACCTGGAGCACCTGCTCTGTAACGTAAGCACAACCCACAGCAGCACAAAGGTCATGATAAGGAGACACATAATCTCACTTTCACCTGGTCATAAACCCTATATTAATTTTAGAGTATTCTTTCTCTTAAAATTGCTCTTATGTGCAAAAACTGCCCATTAAATTGCAAGAAATACCTTTTCATTGTATTATTGTTTCTGCTATTGTGGTCAGCCGATGAAACAGTCACATGGCTCTTTACCTCTCCACTGAAAGTCTAGTTTAGTTGGTTTCACTCTTTGTTTTAAGCCTGAGGCTCTGGAGGTAAATACTTTCACATAACGCAACAACAATTATTTCACCTGTGAGACATTTATGAGAATAAAACCCTCCATTAGTTTGATTTAGTAACTATGCTATTCCGTAAACCTGTTATAGTTTTACCAAAGGTCTTATTTCTATTTCTAAGGGGTCCTATTATGCTTTGTGGTGTGTTCCCTGTCCTGTAGTGTTTTATAGGTTTTTGTGCATGTAAATGGTCAGCAAGGGCTAAAATCCCAAAGTTCGATATAGTGACATCACTGAGTAACACATGGTGGTCGCGCTTCTATTGGCTAAAGCTCCAACGCATTGTATATAATAGGCTAAGGGGCAGGACATCTGTAAGAGGTTGACCAATCACAACAGGGCAGGCCAGCTAACCAATCAGAGCAGACTGGGCTCTGGTTTCAGACAGAGGGTGAATGAGATAAATAAAGACCTTTTTGAACATTGAACCATGTGAATGTCACAGTAGAGGCACACAATACAAATATGAACCTGAACATAATAAGGCCCCTTTAAAAGCCTCAAGGGTCAGAATAGTACAGCATTTACATCTGCAGTGTTAATATGTCAAGCATGTGAGATAAGAGTATAGTGTATGCACACAACCTATTTTCCTTTTAGCTGTGAACCTTCCAATAAAACAGATGTGCTGTCTGAGACGAGTCATACAGCAGTGTTAGGATTGTTGTTCGCTCCGCTGAGTTTCTAGCACGTTTTAAATGTTGAATATTACCCAGCACAAACAGGGATGTGTAGCCCAAGAATGCGTTGAGAGTTTCTATTGTTAGCTTGTTGTGTGGCTCCTAGTTACAGGCGCCTGGGGCTCTCTGAGGGGAAGCTGCAGTGATATGTGTGAGGGAGGTGAGAGAGAGAGAGAGAGAGCCTTCAGCTCATTACAGACACTGCTGCCAGGGGGACGATTGTGTCTCAGAGCAGATGGGCTGTGAAGTAGCTTTCCATTTGTGTGGACACCAAGGGATGTTGACTAGTTGCTTTTGTAAACATTGCAGTCGGATGCTGGGAGCTTGAATCAAATATTGACCTGACTTACACACAGTTATTGATTAGTGTATAACATCATGTTCTACTTTTTTTCTACCCATTTGTTTATCTGTTCCTGCAGCTGGAGGAGCTCAGCACCTCAATGTATCCTTTCATAATCTGATATTATTTTAAGGAATTACCCATGGCTCCGGACACTAGATTTAAATGTGTTTGTAAATAAAATGTGTGAATCCTTAATGTGACCGCGTTCAGACAAAAGCTCCACCTGGCTGAGAACCAGGATCTGCCCAAGACATCTGGTCCCTGACAAAGTGAGGTGCGGAGGATGGCGACCACACACTCATCTTCTCCCAACATCTAGCTAGCCCATGTTGCCATGGCATTGATCCAGCTGCCTTAGTAACGGAACGGAAAGATCGACAGGAGAAGGAGGCGATATGTTATTTGGTCGGTGAAGCAGAGGGAACGATATAAGGACTCAAAGCAGCAGAGCATTATTCAAACACTCAACCAAAACCATAAACCCTCATTCATGGCACAATAAATGGCCGGATGTTTTTACTGAACAGTTGTTAGATAAAAAATGTTTTCAGCGTGTTCTTGGCATCAACTAACTTGGCTCCAGGTACATCATTTGGGAACAAATCAAAGAAAAGTTCATAAAAAGCACACTTCATGATAGTTTAGGAAGTTGTGCTGATGTCATCGTATGCCTTGTTTTTCCGCATAATTGTATAAGTATGCATCTCTGTTAGCGAAGCCATACTTGAGTAGCAAACATATTTAGTCACATGTCGACAACACCACTGTGGTTAGCTTAGAACTTTAAAAGGGAGTTTGCTGTTATTCTGAATATACTCCCTCATTTGTAGGGCTTTGCTTTTAATACTGGACCAACTGGAGGTGTGACTTTGATACATCACATTTTAAAAAGGGACTTTGTGAGAGGATACAAAATGTATGTTTGATAAACTTTCATGTGAAATTGTTGATTTGTTTTGCATAATGACTAGCTACTGTAAATGTTGACACTGATTGGTAAGAATAAGTGAGCTGGAGGATTTATCAGGGTTGCCTTCTGGCTTTGTTTTTCTGAATGAGCTAGTCGACTCTGCTACTGAAGGGCATACATCTATGTACAGTCCAATTAAATGGCAGCTACTTTTATAGTTCAAGGTTTAGATTTGCAGCTTATTTAATTCAAACATTTGGCAGCAATGTACTTCGTCCATAATATTTAAACCCTGACAAGCTAATTAAAGTGATCAATCTTAAACCACAGAGCATCTCAAAGCAGTGGTGGATTTGGTTATAGAAAATGTGCCTATACTGCTTTTTAGGCCCTCGTTTTTTCTAATGCCTATGCCTGGATAACCTCTAGAGACTATACATTTCTTTACATTAAGAGGGACGCATCACTATTAGCTCTACATGTGAATTTGGCAAAACAAGACTTCTGAAGAATCTCCTTTGTATTCAGTAACTTCCCATTAATAAAAGGCATTTAACTTAAAAAGGCACAACACTCTGGTTTCTTGGATGAAATGTAATGCAAAATGTTATCGCTTTAAATGAGCCCTTTACAGATGTGGTCAAAGAACCCATTTCCCGATCACATTAAGACATGAATGAGACACCTGGAAGTTGGTTTTACAGAAATAAAACACTTTATTTATATATCAATCTGTCTTTGCTCTTGTTCACAAACAAGTTCAATATAATTTAACAATTTGATGAGTTAAAAGGCTACTTGAAGACTGGCACTATACTGAGACAGAATCAGATCTGAGCCGTCACTGTTTCTCAGGAAAACGCAGGAGCAAAACTCAGCTCCTCTTCCTCTCACCCCGTCCAGGAGAATTGGTTCCATTTCGATCTAGGCATCAGTGTTCATATATACAAACATACATGATATATGTATATTTCCTTAACAAAAATAAAACATTTTGATCTTGCCAGTACATTTTGGTCATGCAAAAAAAAGGACAGACGGTACCAACTCAGAGCATCATTAACAAGACTTTAACAAAACCATTACACTATAGATAAATTATAAACTGTACCATTAAACAGCATACGATTACAGATTAAGCTAATACTGTGCAAATACACATTTGAACTGTACAAAAGTATTTTGTACTATTCTTGTTAATCTCAATTCACAAAAAAAACAACCACTACATAAGACATTTTCAAAATATGACATCACATTTGAGGAAACAGCAAAATATATACATCTTTCAGGTCCCTGTCTTTGTGCGTTTCAATCTTAAATTCTGTAATAGTGTCTCTGATTTGTATACAGTACATGTTTAGGTTATGAAAAAAAAAAAGCAATGACAATCATATAATTTAAATGTAAAACTCATGAAGTCCATCATGATAATGAGCTACCTTTTCAAAGTGCAAAGAGAGCAGGTTGAGTATGTGTAAGACCTGAAGTCTGTATGTTACCATGCTTCCGTACCAGAGGAAATCTCACTGAGACAACATTAAGAGCCCCTTCTTTTAAAAGGACTTTCTCTTTATTGATATAAAAGTGCAGGCACTATAAGAAATGTAGAACATCTCCGTCTTCAAGTAAGGTCAGTGTTAATGTTCTTCTCTTCCAACATTAGGGCGTGCTTGGGTTCTGTTTTACCTTTAGGATACGTTCCTCAGGATCTCGTTCAAACCTTTATGGACATTGGCAGGCTGGGAGGCAGCACACTCCGTCAGGCTGGACCCCATCTGGGCGTGAAGGGCTTGGCACAGGTTTGCGGTCGCACCCCTCACGCTGCCGCCCCGGCCATGAATGGTGCCACTGTGGGTGGAGGTGCCCAGGAGGTGCCACAGCAGAGGGACCACCTTCTGCTCCACCATCTGGGGCTTGCGAGGATAGAGCTCTGTCACAAGTTCTGGAAATAAAAATGAGAAGGAACAATAGGTGGTGAGAAAAACAAACTGATTTAGAAGCCAAAGGTGAAACTAATAACAGTGTTCAGACTTTTCCCATCAAACCTACCTGCAACTTTTTCAATCATATCCACCTTCGCTTTGCCGTTTAGAAACTGGGCTTTTGTGCAAAAGGGCTGAAGAAGAAGACTTGTATCTGTCATGGAAACAAAAGAAAGTCAAATAAAGACATGTTCTCCAAAAAGACTGAGCCTTTGATTTGACTTCTACCCGAAATATTTGAATGCTCAAAATGAGTACCGAGATTTAGGATAAGTGCATTAATAGCTCCAATAGCAGCAGAGTAAATGGCGTTGTTCTTGGAGTTGAGGTGATTGTCCACGATTGCTGGGACCAGGATGTTGACCACTTGGGACAGGTTGTCCTTCATCAAGTGGGAGATTTTCTGTAGGGACTCCAGGGCGTGCAGGTTGACCTTGCTGTTGGACTCCTGCAGCCGGGCCTTGAAAGCATCAAACAACTGAAAGAAGAAGTTAAGAAGAGACATTTTTTAGATTTTTCAATATAAACACAGTCTGATGGTAACTGAGAACCATGATGAGGAAATATTTATAGGATTTGGAAAAGCACTGACCGGGTATATACTTTTGATGACCATGTTGGGGTTGTGCTGGCAGTCAGCCGCTAACTGGTCGATTCCCTTGATCCTCTCTCTGAAGTCCTTTGAACCGAGCAGATCTGAGATCTGCTTGATGTATTCTGTCTTGTCTGCAATACTCTGGGTCTGAGATCTGCAGCTGTTATGGCTGTTCGCCTCCCTGTGGATAATTCAAAATATATCAAATGGATCACTTGTATAAACCTACGAGTTAAGCTTGAATAACGTACTTCCTATATGCGTGGTAAAGTCTAAACTTCTGCTGAATTTGGGCTGTACAGTGCTGCTGTCCTGGTTGATTTTCCACCCACCTGTTGGTCTGCTGGAGCGGCTCTCTGGTGAGAGACGAGGCCCTGACTGTCCCGCTGCCTGGGAGGGAGCGTCTACCCCTCGCTGACTGGGAGTCTTGAGGAATCTCACCAAGACCCTAAGAAAAACAAAAACAATCTCCAGGTAAGATTGCGGTGTAACCTTAAAGGTAGGGTAGGTAAGAATGGAGAAACCAGCTCGAGTGCGCTAGAATTTGAAAGTACGCCGAAAAAAAAACTGCCCCTTCCTTCACACTTCCTTACAGAGCCCCTCCTCCAACACACACGAACATGACCAATGAGGGCACGAGATAAGTTGATGATTGGTCGTGCTTTTTACAGCACCACGGCTGCCACAGATGACATTTAATGTATTTATTGTCAAAGCATTTAATGTATTCATTGCTATCGGGATGTTAAGAGCATTCCATGGAATATAACAAAAAGTGTTTCTGAAGTGAATTACCTGCCCTACATTTAAGCAATAAAGGTTAATAAAAACACAACAAAAAGTCGTACCTTTGTCTTGAGAGTGAAGACGGTCTCTCGGACTGCCGGCAGGTCTTTGGTGGGGATATATTTCTCCAGGATCTTGTCAAAGTCAGGGTGGGAGGACAGTGACAGCAGCATTCGACGCCCAAAATACCTGTTTGTTAAACCAATATGATAGTGAAAACTCACAATAATTGAATATCAAAAGTCTCTGTCATATGTATATGTTAGTTCTCAAAAAAAGCAAGGATGTGTGCACATGAATGAGGCCCAGTAGTCCCATTTGCAAAAACCTAACTCTAAAGCAACAAATTGGCGTACCTGGGTTCCTGTGAGGAGTCTTGTGCGAGTTTGGTGACGGCAGGTAAGATTCTATCAGTGAGATCTTTACCTCCGGACAGGAGGCGGGCGGCACCGACCTTCTCCATCAGATTAGCCAGGTGCTGGGCCGTGCATTTTCTCACTACTGGGTTGAGATTACTGTCAGAAGAGGAGAAAACCATTCAGCAATCAAAGATAGAAATGTTTTATTGGGTGTTAAAAATAGTGCAAAGGTACCACGGAATTTCTCAACCGTAAGTGTGTGAAACAGCACTCTATTTATGTAGAGATAACTACTGACCTGAGACCCCCAGAAAGCAAAGCATTAATTCCTCGAGTTGGTGTGCAGTGCTGAGCCATGCAGTCCAGTGCTGCATCCACATCCTGCCTGATGAAGGCGTTACTCTCCCCGGCCTTCAGCAGCAAAGCCTTGACTGTGCCATCCAGCTCCTGGTCCATGGCCTTCTGCAGGTGGCTGTACATGTCGCACAGCGTACACACTGCGACCTTGGAGACGCTTGACCGCAGGTTCTTTACCTAAATGAGATTGTCATTATAAATACCTAACAGGAAACTGAGTCATTCCAGGCAGTCAGCCAGGATATCAAGACACTACTAAGACACAGATATCAAAATCGGATATCGATATGAATCAGGGGTGAGGCATTTCAAGTTCAGAAGGCAAAATTAAAAATTTATGTGGGAGCGTTATACAACAAGTTAATCTACCTCTTGAATGAGAACCAGGCAGACATCATGAAGCCTGCCCTGGAGTGTGTCTGAGTGGTAGTGAGCCAGACTGCGCAGGAACGTCAGACCCTCGATCTTCTTCTCCCTGAAGAAAAAGAAAAAGAATAATTTAGTAGACCATTTCTTTGGGAGACATTTTGTTGACAAAGTTTCTAAATGTCGTTCCCGTTAGGTATAATATATGTTGACTAGCGGTGTCTCTTTAATTCAAAAGGTATTTTACTGACATGACATTTAATATTATTCTATGAATTCAATTATTTATCTAATCAATGCATGCAAAATCAAATGTTCATGCTATTCTATATCTTATAAACCTTTATCCTGGATTTGAGTTATCAGCATAAAGGATTGCAACTTCTATTCCCAGAGCAGTGCAGCTGAGACTCTGTAGCATGCGAGTGTTTCTCACCAGTCCTCGGAGCTCAGCAGGTTAAAGCTCTGCGTGAGTGCCAGGTCAGGCTTGGAGAAAGGACACAGCTCAGGAGGCTCAGAGAGGGTTTTCTTGTGTCCCGGAGTACCAGGGGAGAGCTCGTCTAAATGAACCGTCAGGCAGCACACAACACATAGATTTAGTCTCATGTTACATCTCTATCAGTGTGAAAACAAGCAGCGCGTGTGTGGGTGGCGGTGCATTAACAGTAGGTTGTCAAAACAGAGCATTGTGGAACATTACCCAAAGCAAACATCTTATTCACCCGCGCTCTGACAGTCTAATTAATGTGCCAGCATATAATTTCCATAAACAAAAGGCCTGTTGAAGCACTGGTTCATCTATTTATAATGGGGTGGAATAATGCTGAAAGCAGGCCAGTGTCAGACCGACTGAGGGATCGCAACATGATAAAAAGGTACAGTGACATTTTTTGTTATTTAAAAAACAGAGAAGCACTTACCCGAGCTGTGGGAAAGTGATGGTCGGGTTCTGCTGAGGCTAGGGGCCCTCCTTAGACGGGACTGATTTTTGGAGTTGGGGGGCACTGTGGGGGGGCTTGGCTGGTGCGGAGGAGTCAAGCACTTGCTGGGGCTTTGGGGTCCCAGTGGGCTGGTGGGGCTGATAGGGGACTCATCGGAGAGACGCTCTGCTTTGGT